AACTTTTTTAAGATATCAAACTGGGTTCTCTGTTCTGAACCGTCAAATATTTGTGTATAAAGGATTAATTTCTGTTTATCTGGTGAATGATTATTGTCTTCATTAGGTTAAATGTTTAGCATCAGTTTCCCGCTGAACGAAAACTCATTTGACACCAAAAAGATTTATTCCAATCCCACTCGTGTTTCCAGAAGTTTCTGAGTGATGAGAACCAGGCCAGGAGCATTACACTGAACTTCACTGCATCGCATGATTTTCCATTTATTACATATACTTTATCTACTGTAATCCACTGGAAAGTTTTGGCTTCATGTGAACAGATTTTCACTTTCATTTTCTCTCTCTATGTCTGTGATTGTAGTATTTATATCTTTCTAACGGCGAGTTTTTGAAAGGTCAGTAAATACCAGAGTAAAAAAATGTATTGCTTGGATAAACCATAATTCTCAGGTACACATGTTTTAAAATCAGTAAAACTTTAGTGGATTCAATAACTGAATTTATATTTAAGTTTGTTAAAACAAATTCTTTCTCAGTGGAAATGAGAATGTGATCAGATTGAGGATTATATTTTCCATCCTTATTTGGGTCAGATTATGTTCCTGCAATAAAAGATGAATTTATTTTATACTTTTGAAAGCGCTAAAAATAATCTAGCTCTGCTTCTGTAATCTAAGTCACATATTAGATTACTACTATACTGCCTGCTGTTCAACACTATTCAGATTAGCACTTTATAAACCGCGATAAATGCTAAATTATTCATTTAAAAAATCTTAAATCCTGAAACCGAAGCGATGCAAAAAAAAAGAAAACCATCCGTTTATACAAAACAAATGCCAACATGATGCTATGGATGGTTTCCTCTTCCTCGGCCTCCTACTTTACAGTCTAGGGCTCCATGGTTGTAATCCGGAATAAGGATCCGTGACTCATGTTTGGAGCAGCCATCAGCACTGACACTTTGAAGTGTTGGCTGAGTCAGTCACGCAGCTTTAGTAAACAATGTGCAGAAAAAAAGCGGTTACTTTGTAGCTATCAGAAGCCTGCGTGTTTCAGGCTTCCTGCTGCTGCAGATTCAAACACCTCTCTGCACAAATCTGGAACAAAAAGCAGGAAAAACAACAAGAGCCAGTTTCCCACCCAAACAAAAGCCAACCATACCTTGTTTGCAGTGATGGATTATAGCAGCACCTTAACAACAGTCTGTGTATAATGGATATTTGATGGAGTTTCAAAGAGAAACAGGCAAAGTTGAAAGCGATGTGATATTGCTGCGTATGAAAACTGCTGGTTTATAGGAGATGAGCCGCCGATGGGACCAAAACGGCAAAGAAATGACTGAACAGATCTGCATCTGAGATGTTATGCTTCTTTTTTTTAGGATTGAATCAACAACTACAGAACATGACTGAGATACTTTGGCCATCTTTAGTTTGGATGCTTCTTAACAGACACTATCAAACAAAAAAGTAAAAAGAGCAACTCTTCTGTGCAGAGATGTCTGTATTTAGACTGGAATGGGAGCCTTCTTATCCTGGCAGGTGGCTCCGCGTCAGACATTTAGCTGTGATTTAGGCAAAGCAGACACACACACAAATACATATTCAAGGCGCTGTGATAATGGGCAGCAGGACTCACAGCGGGCCTGGGATACGGAGGGATGAAGGGGAGGAACAATGAGGAAGAACAAAGATGAGAAGGATTCAAACAGAATGGACATTCTGCCGATGAGACACGGGCGGAAGAGGTAAGAGCAGAAAAAAGAGATATAATATGATAGATGGTGTAAAATGTCACCTCCATCATTGTCAGTTCCATCACTGCAGTCAGTTTCCATGACAACGCTGCATCCAGGCCCGCTCCATCCGGCTTGGCAGATGCAGCGCCAGCCACTCTGCTCCAGGGTACAGCGTCCGTGTCCGCTGCATAACCCGGGGCAGCCGTCTGAAAGACACATTTAGGTTTCCTGGTGAACGTCGCTTCTTTTTAAAGGAATCTATTCTGAGAAGCTAATTAAAATATATATATGTCACATAGAGTAATGTGAAGTGTTTATCGAAAAATAAGTTTAACAGAATAAGATTCAATTTATTAAAGATTCCAAATCGACCCCGTCTGAGACAGCAACGCTCATTTGGTTTATTTTTTTATTTTAAATATTATAAAATAAATGAGCATCAAGTCTTTGTTACATAAAACAAAATACAGAGAACATTTATTATTCCCATACTAAATTAAATCTATTAAAAAACTAATGTTTTTTGGGCTCTTATAGTATTTAATGTTTCTCAAACACCTTTATTTAATAAACAAACTAATCCAGTTATTCTGCGACAGCGTTTACCTTCTAATCCCAAATCCTGCGCCCAAGAATCCCAAACAAATCAGTTTGATCATCGAGTCAATAATATATTTAAGAAAAGTGTTTGGATGAACATGTTAATCACACATCAGATCAATACTGGAGCATAAAGAAATAAACCGACGGAGGGAGAAAATGTTGCAGCCAGTATGACGACCATGCTTTCATTGGCTGCTTGTTTATCAGCCGCCTCTATAACTGAATTAATAGAAAAGATGATTCTGCAAAACATTCAAACTGCAGTTAAATGTTCTTTACTGAAACTCATGAAACCATTGTTACCTCAGAGCCTTAAATTAGTAGAACAAATGAATTCAGATGCTTCTTATATTTACATTTCTAGCAATAGAGAAAAGCTGAAATAAAAAAGGCTGTTCTCTGTTCTTTATTCTACTTAAAGAAATTAAATATGTTGGTAACAAACTGAATCTGATTTAAATGTTACTGTTTCCATCAAACTTCTCTGATGTGAAACTGGTTCCCAGTGCAGAACTGGGAACCTTTGGAAAGAAGGAGTTTATAGGACAGCTGGTCCCTGATGGAGTTTGTTTTTATTCACTCTTACAACTGTTGTTTCCAACATGCCTGGATTTATACCCCCCCCCCCTTTTTTATTTTTGATTTTGACATTCTGAATCTGACAATTGCTTAACAATTAGCCAAAAGCTTAAAAACACAAAATAACTTTTTCTATACATGTATAGATATTCAGGCATTAAAGGGTTAAAGGGGGTGATGAGAATGAAACGTATTTCTGATCGTTCAGAGAATAACGGAGCCATATTTAAATGGGAAACTGTGGAAAGATGATGAACCTTCCCAGGAGTCGAACAGATTTCAGACAAAAAAAGAATCAAATACAAACAGATTTTCTGCTGTAAAATGTTTATTTAGTGGACAGACCTAAAGCCTAAGATGCTGAATTAAAGACATTAAACACGTCTTCAATAACCAAAACCCTAAATTCTAAATTACAACTAAAGACTTTAGAGTTTTAAGGAATCAAAATGAAATTAGAGTCTAAAGGATCCAATATTCCTTTAACTCTTAAATGTTAAAAATGTGTTAATTAGGAGCAGTGAATCATGACAGCTGTCGCTTCAAACGAAGCTGCAATCAGTTCAGTTCCTGTTTTATCTTCTTCATTAATGTTTTGTATTAATTTATAATCTCTTTATCTAATAATAAAATACTAAATGTGTGATGAAAAACATTTCCTGGCAGGCGTGAAGTATTTTTCCATCAGAGAGCGATCTACGCTGAGCCTCAGTCTGTCTTTGTCTCTCAGACTGAGCTCTGAGATTTATTCCTTTCTAAATATCAGGTATTTTCTTTCCACACGAGGCTGAATAAATATCAGCCAATCAGGAAAGACGTGGGGCGGTTCCCTCCCTGCGGAGGAAATCCAGGACGTCAGCTGGAACCGTCAGAATCAGGCCGACCTTAAAGGAATACTTGTATAATAGAATATTTAAACTTCCTAAAAACATGTTTATTACTGCAGCTCCAAGACATGATTGGTTGAATTAAATATAACACTATATCTGTAGAGTATAGTGCTTTAATGCTTTCTGCTAATATCCTGATTTATGGAGGCTTTGTGTTTCAGCCAGAATAAAAATAATCCTAAATGAAACAAACTTACCTTTTACCACAACATCCAGATCATGGGTGACTGGAGAGGGAAAGACAGGAAATGATTAAAAAGGAATTAGCCAAATAAGGTAAAGCCCTTTATTCAGATCCTGTGGAGTGTTTGGCCCCGCCCCCCTCACCTATGTTACAGTGTTCCCCCTCCCAGCCGGGCTGGCAGATGCAGGTCCCGTCGTGGCACTGGCCGTGCTCCTCGCAGCGAGGGTGACACGCTCGCTGGTCGCACGCGGCGCCGGTCCAACCGTCCTCGCACTGGCACTGGCCCTCTGAGCAAACGCCGTGGCTGCCGCACGGCACCGGGCACAGCTCTGTGGATCAGGTGGGCGGAGACGAGCGTGGAGGAAAAACAAGGGTGTTAGAGAACGCCAGGGCTGCGGAGGGAGATGAACAGATGGAGGAAACAAGGACTGGAAGGAAAAAGCCGTTAAAACAGACAGAAGATGGAAGTTTCCTTATTTACAAATGAAGCCTTTGGATTAAGCCGAGGCAGGGAAGTGAAACAAGTAAAAGAGAAGAATTGCCTGGGAGAGGTTTAAAAATCTACTTTCTCACAACACACAATCTTCTCACCTCTAATAGCTTAGCTCCCTTAAGGAGTGAATAGACTCATAATAGAAGCCAAATGATTGGTATTTGCGCCGCATATTTAAGCCACTGGGACTCTGATTCAGCTCCATTACTCCTTCCTCTCCGACATTGTGATCAGATTTAGGAGGAGGGGTACCTTAATACCCCTTCTTTTGCAATAGTTCTCCATCTTTCTCTTCTGACTCCCTTCCTTTTGCAACATCCCTTTAACCCCCCCCCCTCTCTGCAGAGGAAAAGGCTCATCCATCAGTAAAGAGAGCAAAGTGCTGGAGGCTCACAAAGCCTACTTATCCAGCTGCAGTAAAAAAGTTATTTCAATTTAAATATACATGGCATGGAGAGGGAGCAAAAAGTGGATCCAAGTTAGTGGAGTTTTTCAGCTCTCCATTAGATATACATTAACTTAGATACGCCTTAACAAGAATGGCTGGAGCCTTCTGATTAAAAGGCCGTCTGGTAGAGGGGAGGAGGCTCACATCTCAAATATTCAGCCATGATGTATCAATATCAGGGCTTATATCGCCATAATAATAACGCTAGCAGGCAGCCAATGCTACCGCTGGCCTGCATTATAGAACTACAGCTCCTAGAGCAGGTAGAAGAGAGAAAGGTGGGTTTATAATAATGGCTACTTACCGTAGTGTTTTCTACTGAGCTTCATTCTACATTTTAAACACACCAATGCTGACCCCACCAGCTTTTCTTTCTAATGATCATTATTATTCTGGGAGCAAAGAAACGCTGCAGCCATCTAGACTCCTCTCATAGTTTAGCTCTTTGTTCACAGCTTTTCCTTCAACCACAAACAGGAACGGATTATATCAGGACTTTATATGATAGAGCTACACAAACTAGAGTGTTTATTTGATTGGATAAAACCTCAAATCAATTCAATTCACTTTATTTCTATAGATCCAATTCACATCATGTCATCTCAGGTCACTTTATAGATCCAGATCAACCAGATCATCCAGTCAGATTGATTCAAAGTTTTCTATCTAAGGAAAACCAGCTGATTGCATCGACTCATTGACTCTTCAGCAATCCCTCACACTAAGCATGCTTGTAGCGACAGTGGAGAGGAAAAACTTCCTTTGAAACAGGAAGAAACCTCCAGCAGAACCAGGCTCAGTGTGAGCGGCCATCTGCTGAGGCCCACTGGGGTTCAAGGAGACAGAAGCAGACATAGAAAAAAACTTGCAGTATGATTATTCATTTTCATGTTTTGCCAAAGATCCTTAACTTGACTTATGTCTGAACTTTGACTAGGCCGTTCTTCAATATGCTATGATAAAAACAGGGTAAATGTTTTTCTGACTGTATGTTTAGGGTTGTTGTCCTGCTGGGAAAGGAGGTCCCAATATGTGTGAACACATTTCCATTAATGATTAGTTCTATTTAACTAACGCTGACCATCCTTCCACCCCCAGCATCTCAATAGATTGACGATGCCTCCATCTTTACCTCCACACATAAAAAAATTAGCAAACATTTTTATTGGAGGTCAAATCTGACTGGAGCTACTTCTCCCATGTTTACAGAGTTTCTCTTTTCCTCCTTAAAGGGCAGATGTTTGGGAAGCATCACTAAAACCTGTCCTCTCAACATATTCTCCTGTTTATTCTAAGATTAAAATATAATAAATACATTTTCTAATTAGGCATCTGCTGAAGGCAGTTTGATAAAGACTATTGTGTTTATGGGAGAACCTAATCAAAGGTTCAAATGCATACATACAGATACACATGCATGCCTCATATTTGGGGGGAGTGTTGGCCTAGTGGTTAGAGCTCTGAGAAGGTGGAAAGTTCCTGGTTCGATCCTCCACTCTGGGTCCCTGAGCAAGACCCTTAACCCCACACTGCTCCCCAGGCGCCACACCATGGCAGCCCACTGCTCCCTGAGGGGAGGGGTTAAATGCAGAGAGGGAATTTTGTTGCTCTGTGCTTGACAATGTAATGACAATAAAGTTGAATTTTTCTTCTAAGATGTTTATCTCTTCAAAGTTGTATCTTCAATTTATTTCACACTAATGCACTAGTTTGTGTGTAAAATCCAAAGAGAAAACAATCGAGCTTGAGGTTTTAAAACGTCTTTTGAGGGCAGAGTACGTAGATAAATAGGCAGACTTTAAATGCCAACCCAAGTGTTCCTGAGAGCTGCAGTATCTGACAGAGTTTGCAGCAATGAGGTCTTTTCCCCTCATTTAGCTGGAGGGGGATGTGTGTCCAAGCGGCGGTGTGTGTGTGAGGTAAGTGTTTGTGCATCGGCCTGCAGTGTGTGTTAGATTCAATGCAGAGCTAAATGAGTTCTGCTTTGCTTTGGAACGCTGCGGCCAGAGATTCATGTGGAGAAATCTCATTTCTAGATGGCATGAAGGGTGAGTGCAAAACACGGCCGGGAATGCAAACATTTCACAGTCTAGCACCCGTCCATCAACTCTGTTCGTTTCTAAACCCACATCATATAATATCTGGAAAAACTCCTGAGTTCCCTCTCCATGCGTCTGCAGACTGACTCCCTTCCTCACCGGTGAAGCAGTCCGGTCCGGTCCAGTTGGGCTGGCAGGCGCAGGTGTCTGAGTCTGGGAGATAGGTGCCGTGTCCCGAACATTGCTCCTGACAGGCAGGCAGCGGGTCATCGCAGCTCACTCCGGCCCATCCTGCCGAGCACACGCACTCCCCGCGCACGCACACGCCATGCCCGCCGCACTGAGGGTCCACACAGTCCACTGCAAACACAGGGAGGGAGGGGGGGGCAGAGTGAGCCAGAGGTGAAGATGGGGAGTACAGGGTGGGTGGGTGTTGGTGGTGCTGCGGGCCGTCTCATTATAATCATCAGTTCACAGAGTATGAAAGCAGTGTTCTTTGCATCCCATTCAGGAGTTAACCAGCCCAGCAACAATCCCTGTATCTGTTCCACAACATTACACTTCATAGGACACTTAGAGCCCAGGCTATGATAAGGGCTGTCAGGGTGGGCTGTGCTGCACCGCGTTAGTGTAATTACAGCCCACAGGGCAGAACCAAAGCTCAGCAGAGTTGGGCTTAACTCTAGCAGCTCAGTCACTGAAGGTCACACACCTGAGCGAGCGTGGAAACTCTGAAGGCCGAAGCAAAGAAGGTGATGAGGACGGCCTCAGCTCCGGCTTCACCTCCTATTCCGTCTGTTTTACTCAGCTGCTTCATAACAGGCGCGGATATTTGGAACTAAACCATGAAGATTGCTCATTTAAATAAAAAAATATGTTTTTTTATTGAGAAAATTATTTGCTGTTGAAAAAATATAGATTAGAAACAGAAAAGTATTTTTAAAACAGAAAACAATGCAACAAAAAATGTCATAAAAAAATAAAATAAATGCAGAATTATGTTTGAAAGACATTCCTAGTTCCCACGGTTCCTGAATGCAACACTTGTGAACAAATACTGCCCACACAGGAGAGCACAATCTGAAAACAAACAAAAAAATCTTAAAAATATTTTTAAGTCATTTTTTTATTTAAGCTTCAAAACACATGTTTTTGTATTACAGAATTTATGGCCTCTATTTAGTTCCATAGAACTGCCTCTAATCCCACCAAGAATTACCGTAAAGTACAGTAAAAACTGGCCATAGCCTTTTATAGGCTCATATTTTTTCACTTTAAAAATAGTTTTTTTTAATATATTTTTTTAATACTGTATTGGGAAATAATTTGATTGACAGAGAAGAACCAAACTAATTCCTTAAAAAAAAAGAAAAAAAGAAGTGTTCTATATTTGTGCTGTTTAATCACCTTTTGTTGGTATTAGAGTTAAAAACCTTTATCTGTCAGTCAGTCAGGATTTCCACTTCGGAAGCATTTTTTAAATAATTTTACCTATTAGATAAAAAACTCAGCTAAAGCTCAGACAGATCTAATAAAAACGGATCTATTATTATTATCTTCAGCTCAGTTCGATTTACGTCTATATATTTCCATCATAGCTCTAGCTCTGTTTAGAATCAATGTCCTGCTTGAAGTCAAACCTCAGCGACAATCCAAAGGCTTCGACCGTCTTCTTTCCCTGTTAAAGGAAAGCAACCCACAGCATGATGCTACCACCACCGTGTAACGCGGTGGAAGGAGGGTGTTTAGGCTGATGTGCAGCTTAAAATAAACATATTTAATCTGATAGGAGGAGAATGCTTTATTTCACATGTCTGTCTGATAAGGTTTTACATCTATTTCTTCCTACATTTCCTCCAAATAAGGCCAGATCTATAAGTTATGCTGTTCAGACTTTGAACAGCAAAACAAAACATCTCCTCAGTCGGTTATTTGGTTTCTTATTTGGTTTATAAATTGTACATATTTTATGTCAAATCCTGACATTTCTATTTTTTTCTTTGGTCTTCATCTTGCTGCATTTTAAAACATAAAAATCAGATCTATACTGAAATGAAACTATTTCCTGAGATATCAGAAGGTGGTTTGTTTGTTTGTTTGTTTGTTTGTTTGTTTGCATTTTCAGAACAAATGTTGCTGAATTCATGCAAAAATGAAAGGAAACATGAATATTTTTAAACCAAAAATCTTTTAAAAATATTTCTATTTCAATTCAAAGTTGTGAATTAGTTTGTTTTGGTCATAAAATCTGATATAACTCAGTGAGCTTTATGGTTGCAATGTGACCACATGTAAGAACTTTCCAAATTATTTATCATTTTGAATAACAGACTTTATCCTGAATAAAAATAAAAGTATTCTTGCTCCATTTTATTTTTTACTGCTTAAATGTTTCTATTAAGAACCAAAAGTTCAGACCTTTGGGTTGAAATGGACGATTGATGGAAATGTTCAGCCACTAATAAAGGCTTTAAAATGCATCTCCTTTAATGACTAAAATAAAATATAAAGAAAAGCTCAGAGTCTGGTACGGAAATAATAATAATAGCAACTGAGATTCTGACTTTTAAAGATTTATAATTGATTCACAGTCTCTAAAAACGTTTCACCCGGATTTCTCTTCACATCTCCCAGCTTCTGTGTTACATGGAGCTGTGACGCTGTCAAGGCAACAGCTTTTCAGTCACTTGCTGATAAATTATATAATCTAATAATTAATTCTGAGAGTTGCTGTTTTTGATGTAAAGCAATCAGAGATCCTGATGGAAACAGAAAGCTGTTTGTAATGAAACGTTTGGCCATGCTCTGGATTCTGCAGTTAAAAGCAGCAGAAAATAACTCATTTAATAAACCCTGTTTGCTTCTTATTAAAAGTAATGTGGCAATAAAAGATAACTAGTTGAAAGAAGCGATGAAGACGTATGTATAATGTCAGTCTAAAACAGAGTCGCTGAGTTCAGTCAATTTTTAAATATTGTATTTGTTTGGATAAACTTAAGCCTTCTTTGCTTAAGTTAGACTTAAGCAGATAATCAGGTTGTTTTTTTTCTTCACAACCTTCAAACAACGTTTAGTTAAAGCGTCGTTTCATGAGCTTTCACACCTTAAATCAAATAAAGAAAAACCCAGTTCAGCGGGTCCGTATGGAAATCACTGACAGCTGGCGTCCTTTAAGCTAAACAGAGATTACAGAGAATAACAAACATTCTATTGTATAAAGATATCAGTGAGACGTTAAAGAAAAAAATAAAATAATCCAGAACCTAACATACGATAGAGACCAGGGTGAAACCAGGACATCAGCTGCAGAAAATTATTGGCAGCGATGAAATCAGAAGATGAGACATAAAGTGTTGAGGGAGGCCGGCAGCCAACCGACCGCATCTATGAACGAAGCTAAAGAGTTTCTTTCCAGAACTGAATGTTTTCTTCTTTTGACAATAATCTCCTGTAATCTCCATCTGTCTGGACTCGTGAGTATGGCTCTAAATCCGGAGCTTTTGCTTCCAGAGAAAACATCCAGGCCTGGATTAAAACGAGTCCAACCTTTTGGGAGAATGAGATCAGCTGACACCCCCCCCCCCATCAGCAGTGAGGTCACCAGGAAAATAAAAACAAAACTTCATCTCTATTTAATCTCAAAGTGAAATGTGCTGCTGAAGATTCTCAGTCATCCAGGTCAGTCATTCCAAAAAAATTTAAAATCAATCCTCTGGACTTAGTTTCCAGGTTTGAAGACGTTTCTCTTCCATCCAGGAAGATTTTTCAATTCCAAATGTCAGAAATAGCGTTTAGTTCCAGGTTTTATAGATTTGCGGACATCTACACCTTAAGGACGAAGGACATTGTTTGGAGGAGCAGAATGTTCACATTTCAAAGACAGGTGGTTTCAACTTTCAGAAACCTCCAATGCAGCGATTGAGTTGATTCCTTCCCGCCATCATCGCAGCCCCCCATCACTATGCAGCCAGGCCAACAATGANGTTTGGCTTCTTTGTTAGCCTGCAATGCCCCATACCTGTCTATGTCTCTGAAAGGGGGGTCGTTAGAGGGAATAGTTGGCCTGGCTGAACAGGTGAGGTCTTCTGTTCTCCTATAAAGGGGTTGGAGCTGCAATGATAGCGGGAAGGAATCGACTCTATCGCTGCATTAAAGGTTTTTTAAAGCTAAAATCGATGCCCCCCCCCCTCTTAAGGTTGGTTTTCCTCAAACCGAAATGTTGCCATGGAGACATTATTCTTCAGGCTAATTCTCTCTTTTTTGTCAAACTCGCGTCAAAATTTGCGTCAGTTTTGACCCAAAAGTCACAGAACTTTAAGCTTAAATAGAAATGTGACTGGAAAGCTTTGGGGAGACCTGAAGCTCTGATAAGTTCCCCTAATCTGATAGATTAGAACAGGGGTGTCAAACTGGTTCCAGAAAGAGCCGTGTGGCTGCAGGTTTTCTTTCCAACCAAGCAATAGCACACCAGACTCCAGTCATCTCATTAAGTCAGTCCAATCTGAACATGATGACGTGATGAGATAAATCAAGTCTGGTGTGCCATTGTTTGGTTGGAGAGAAACCCTGCAGCCACACGGCCCTGGAATCAGTTTGACACCCCTGGATTAGAAGAACTTTTAAATGAAATATGGTATATTTCTGTATATAAAGCTGCCGTTGGTGAAGGACCTACTGTAGAGTGTTTCTGCATAGAGTTTGCCTTGGTTTTCTCCTCCTACTGACTGTTAGCTTGACTGGCTATCATCCACAGGCGGTGTCTGTCTGTGGACCTTTGATGGACCGCTGACCCCTGCACCCACTGGAGATTCACTGGAGAAAAGCCCCAGTGACCCTGATCGATGGGCAAATTTCAACTTTCAGAAACCTCCAATGCAGCGATTGAGTTGATTCCTTCCCGCCATCATCGCAGCCCCCCATCACTATGCAGCCAGGCCAACAATGACCCCCAACCACTTCCATTTCAGAGGAATGGACCAGTATCGGGTATCGAAGGCCATTAATGACATCAACCATTATTAAGGGTGGAGCTGGTTTTCCAGTTTCAATGTTCTTGTTTTCTAAGCCATTAAAGGGCTTTGTGTGGCTCCTTTATAACGCCTGGAACTCAACGCTATTTCTGACATTTTGAATAGAAAAATCTTCCTGGATGGGAAGAGAAACGTCTTCAAACTTGGAGACAAAGTCCAGTGGATTGATTTTAACTTTAACTTTTCGGAATGATTATGGCCTGAATGACTGAGAATCTCCACCAGAAAATCAAATATCCTTTTATTGATTAGATATTAATGTTACATCTCCCTTTAATTAGCATTTAATTACATTTTCTGTTGGTTTCACTCTTTCTGTTTGACACTGAAGTTCAAATATTTTCTCTGTAACTAATTTCACACCAACCTTTGACTCTTTACAGCGATTCCTTCTCTGTGTATTTTGAAAGTTTGTTCATTCCTAAATCTGAGATCTCAGCTCTGCTGTGTGAAAAGCATTTTCAGCGATATGGAGTCAAATGAGGGCTGAATTAATTGGAACTCAGAGTTCAGCGGTTGGACTTGGCAGAACCAGCTGTTACCTGACTGAACCACTGCAACGGATCAATTTCAAATTCCACCAACCAGTTAAATCCCAGTAAACATTAAAAATAGCATCTCCCTCCCACAGGCCAATGTAAATGGGTCAGCCGCAGTGAATTATAGTTTGCCTCATTAGCTTTGAGTGTTTAAAACTTCTTACCTTGTTCACAGTTGACACCCTTGTAGGCCGGACTGCATATGCAGATTCCCTGGATGCAGTTTCCGTGGTTGGAGCAGGTGGGGTCGATGCATTGACCTTCTTCCACGTTACACTCCGCCCCCTTCCATCCTGGCAGACACACGCACCTTCCCTTCTCATACATGCCATTCCCACTGCACAACACGGGGCACGAATCTGAAACACAACAAAGCCCAATTAGTCGTGCTTTCCAGTAGTCGGCGGATGCAAACCCGCGGCGTGCTGCAGTGCGTGAGCAGGGAGACCACGTTAACCTATCATTTGTGGGGATATGCTCTCTTATCTGCATGAATTCAGCAGCCCGTCTTCCCTTCTCCTCCGCAGGCGCACCTACACACACACACACACTTCAGCTTTATCCCTCACGCTGTTTCAATTTACTCAAGCACCACCTGAGCCTGGCTACCACGGCAACGCAGGGATGGTGGAAAATCCTTCGACGTCCCCTCGCTCGCTCTGAACAGCCCGTGAAAACAATCGTGAAAACGGGAGATTAGGGAGGAGAGCATTAGGCATTTATAGAATCAGGGTGGAAAGCAGAGTTTCCTCCATGCAAAGATGGAGAGCTGTGTGGCTAATGGAATGACGGCCAGCTGGAATGAAGTCCGCCGGCGCTGGAGGACACTCTGACAGTCACAGCTCAGCACCAGGATCCAAACCAGCAGTAGAGTTTTATTTTTCCTTTTTAAGGATCAGACGTTTGCAATTAACGGCCTGTGAATTCATCCGACGGAGCGTGTTTTATATGTTTGTTTGATCCTTTGTTAAATCTGGGCCTCCGCTGGGTAATAAATCGAGGCTTTGCTTTTCATAACCCCGGCTATAACACGGTTTCTAGGCTTTCAAGCAGGGAATGCTATACTATAACACAAACAAATGAGCAAAGACGAGAGTCGGGAATGAATAAATTATGAGCGTAAATAAATCATGGAAAGTGATAATCGTATCACCTGTTTCTGTGCTGTAAGACAGAGACAACCATGATAATTTCACATAAAACAGAACGTCCCAGAGAGGGAAACGCAGTAAAACAGAACAATCAGAGCCGGGAAGATACAGGCAACAAGATAAAGCACAGAGGAAGAGGTGTTAAAAGCAGAAGGAAACAACTAAAACCCCCACAGTGCTGCCCTGGTATCTGACTGATCTACATACTGCACGTTTTCTAATAATATCTGTCATTCAAACACAGGCTGGAGCTCAAACAACCTCTAGTGGTGAAATAAGCAGAAGTTGGCCGCAGTGCTAAAGACCAGATGATGAAATGATGATTACTATAAGTGCAATGCCTCTTGCAGATATTTCCCACCAAGAACCAGAACCCACAGAGTATTTAGGCGCCTTTCAAAGCAGAACCGCTCTGCATGAGAAGCAGCAGGATCTCAGTGACAGAACAGCAAAGGCAAGTGGTGCTAAAGCTGGGCTCACATGTAGAAGCTAAAGCCTTACAGCGGAGAAATTCCACCATGGCTGAAGTTTGATTAGTAGATGTTTAGCAGAAATAACTGCCTGGTTATTAATTAACCCAAAGGATTCATTTATAAAAACCTCATAGGAGATGTTGGAGTCAGACTCTGCCTTATAAACAGAGTTACTGATTAAATGTTAGATTTTCATGAAAATAATAATCAAATGACTTTTTACATGCTAGTGTCTCTGTTGCGTTACTTGAGATCAAAAACAGTTTAACTTTAATTCAGGTTTTTACTGCAGGGATGAACGACAGCAGCAGGAAACTGAGGAATGAAAGCTGATTGGCTGAGGAGCTGCGGTGAAGATAGAAACGTCCAAGACGAAATATTTCCATCATTTGTTTGTTATGTGAAACAAAGACTAAATAGAAATAATATATATATTACATTCTCATCACTGCTGCACTTTATCAGAGCAAATGCTCATTTGACTGCTAAGCTGCTCATTAAAAGCTTTATGTGTTTGGTTTATTCAATGATGATTATAAAATGAATGTGTGCTTATGAAACATTTTTGCGAGGGGATGCTTTACTCCTGTCTCATGATCCAGTCAGGAGACCATCCTGCCTCGTCATTCTGATGGAGCATCTTCTCTTCATGAACTGATCAATTGTTCTGTCAGAACAAATACTGTTTTGTAACCATGTGTTATGTTCTGTTAATAAAAGACGGCTGCAGGAGGGGATTCGGAGAAGGAAAGCTTGAAGTTGGGTTGGGCTTTTCCTTCCGCTCCTGCAGAAGCTGCTTGAATCTCTTTCCTGTGTAGACTCAATTTCTATTTATTTGCAAACCTACATTTTCTGAATCCAACAGTATGCATCGAAATGTCATCCTGTATACACGGAGTGTAAACTTAGACAATAAAGTTTGTCTAAGTTTAATAATTTAATCTAAAGAAGCTCCTGAAATCATCTCACCACTGACTGACGGCTGGCTGCCTTTTTTCTGGAAGACTTTAACTTCTGTTTCATTTTAAGGCAAAAGTTATTCACTTCTTTTAAATCAGTAAAAAACTTTTTTTCAGCTTCATGTATATTTTAGAACGATTTAAACTCTGTGCAAAAACCTAAAGATCTAAAACATCTAATTTCCTTTTGTTACAGACCGAAAACGTAATCCTTTCTACATAAATATATTGCAGCACATTTAATCCGTCAAACACTAAAGTGGTTCAGATAAAATATTTTCCGATGTTTGATCTTTATAATTAATTATCTAAGTCATTCATTAAAATCAAACTTCTTATGCTTTTAAATTTTAGGCTGACAAGGTAAAGTCAGACTTTATTACCAGGTAACTCATATTCGCAATTTAGCAATAAATTTACGTGTTATTATTTTGTAAAATGCAGTTAATTGTTTGGTAAATAACAGAAAACCAAACCTAGGAGACAACAGGAACTAAACTAACTCTGGGTTCAGTTTTATAATGCTTAAATTGACCAGTTCCTATTTACTTTGTCAGTTTATGCTGTAACCTGATGGTAATTACAACGTTACATATTTACATACTATTGTAATAATTACATGCAGGTTATTATTCTGATATTATAAACCTTAATATTGGGGTAAATACCCTCTAAAAGTTGTTCTTGTTACCAAGTACTATTGTCTGACTTGCTATGTTTTTACCATGTTATTACCTGGTTAATGATTAACTGTTAAAGAAAGCGTTACCGTTATTATTTTACTTTATGAAGCAAAATAAACCAAACAGACTTTTATTAGACCACATAGTTGTTGGAGTGTGCAGGTCAAAGGTCAGAAGGAGATATCTGAATAGAATAACTGATGGTATAATCCTTCATAATGCCTGTATAGTCTAAGAGCCCCTTTAGGGTCACTGTGAATAACAAGGATCAGAAAATGCTTCTTAAAATAAGGAAGCACTTTTTAACCTGCATAAAACCCAGAAAATAAAAGTAGAAGCTAGCAGGCCTGCTTTAGTCGACTTTAGCCACCGTCTAGAATCAATAACTCACCTTTGGCACAGTCAGGCCCCAAGAAGCCAGCGAAGCAGTGACAGTGTCCAGCCACACACTCTCCGTTTCCATTACAGTCCGTGGAGCAGCCGTCCATCGAATCTGCAGGACCGAACAGACACATGCTCAGAGGGACAGAGATCGACCAGAGGAGGGGAAACAAAAAAAAGCTAAACTACAAAATATTGCACATTTGACTGCATAAGCTGGCATGGCTCTCATGGTTATTGAATGCAAGATCTGATAAGCAATGGATGGCTCCCCAGATACTGGAGCTGTATTAGATTAGTCTGATCCAGCTGCTATTGCTCTCTGGGGAGCGGCCAAGCACTCACTTACGCTCAGTACCACTAAGCGCATTAAACTGCATTACAGGTTGGAAAAAGAGCTGGGCACAAATTTACAAACATAAAGGCCTAATCAACAAAGCCTTTACAGGTGCAGAGTTTAAAAGCAGACGGAGTGAAATAAAAGGTGGAGAACGGGTGATGCTGCTGTCGCTGCAGCAGCAGCAGCAGCAGCATCTGCTCCCTGGGCATCCTCAGCATCAATGTGCTGCTTGTTTCCACTAATGTTTCGTCTCATCTGTGAGTTTCATCACATCTTTCTGTGGGCTATATGTGTTTCATCACATTCTTCAATCGAACTTGAATTAGCCGCCTTTCTCCTGCTGTCTCTGTGTTCCTGCACTGATACGTCCATCATGTCAGATTGCATTCTCTGGGAACAGGCCGCGCCGCAGCGTCGGATAAAGAGGGGGAGCACTTTTCTGAGTGTTATATAAGCCTGCTGAGCTCTGTCAGCACTGCTTGAGATGTAGGATTTTGGTGAAGCGGTTACACTCGCACTGCTAGTGATTTGAACTGGTTGTCTTGGTTTTGGCGAGCTCTATCTAAGCTAGATAGAGTAATTAAAGCGGGTGTCAGGAATGTCATTTCTTATTTGACCCCATGCCAGCCCGCTCTGCTCCTGTGAACCGATTTGGACTCCTGAGTCAAACGGCTGCAGTCCCGCTGCTTTGCTCGTGTTCAGAGTGCAGAGATGACAAATCCTTCAGCGCACATGTGCACATGCATTTACAAACACATACAGCCAGAGTTATTATGTGACACCCGCCTTTAGGCGCGTGTGACACATGCTAATGAGACAGGCCCTGCCACTAGCCGGCAGCGCGGCGTTATCCTCCAGAGCGGCGCATCGCTGCAGAAACCAAAGTCATTTTCACCTCCATCACCTGTCATCGTCAGAGTGATGGAGAGGAGTGCCAATCATATGTTCTCCCACACAGTCAGCAGCACTAACGCTTGTTTCAAATACTGAGACCCCTGCCCACACTAAAAAAACATACGCTCATTTTCCAACATTGCATTTGGCACCTTGACACATGAAATGGGTGAAAAACTGATCTGCAAGGTCACACAGTTCCTTTAATCCACCTGAGAGCAGCAGTTTGTTAGAGCTTGCAGGGCTGTGAGGTTATAACAATGATAAAGGCTCCGTATCGTTCAGGTCGTCGTCCCGACCGTAAAAACCTCCAGCAATTAAGAGTTAATATATGAAGAGACATGTCTCTGCATGTTGCAGGCTGCGGTCACTCTTTTCTCTCCACTGACTCCAGTTAGAAATCACTCATGCCATAAGTTATTTAACTTAAATGCTATTATAAAATGGGTGCTTCCAGCCAAGGGAGCTGATTGGTCAAATAAGCATTCCAATTGTACTTTATGAGCCTGTAAAGTTTCAGCCATGCTTTATGACCCTTGGGCTTTATACATTTATGAAAAAATGAATGAGCTGCGCAGCTAACCAGAAACCCCAGAAGAGTCCTGATGATGAACCTGTTTTGTTTTTTATCTATTTGGCCCAAGGCTCCAGTACCAGCAGGTCACATCCCGTCTGCAGGGACGTCGTTTTGCTTTCAACCACATCAAATTTGCTCATTTTAATTGTAGCAGCGATCCGTTTGGGTGGATGGAAAGAAGGTGCTGATGGAGAAAAGGAAACAGGATTGCAGAAATCATTAAGCTAAAGTTTCCCTGGTTTACTTGCAAATGTCAGTGGCAATGGTGGGAGGAAATGAGGCTTCAGTCGAAGCAATTGCTACTTTTATGGTCAGAAATGTGTTTGAAAATGTCATTTAAATCATATTTTTAGAACCTGCTGCAAGTCTGTTTTATTAGACCTTTTTCCACAGATTTTGGATTTTTTATGTTTTTAATATCAGAGAGAGAGAGACAGGTGGAAAAACCTTTAAACAACCTGAAGACATATTATCAAAATCATAATTAAAAAATTAGAGGTTATGAAAAACCATAAAAAAAATTACACAACAGAAATTAAATCTTCATTTATCGTTCCTGTTTGTGCAAAAGCTAATAAAAATGAAGCCGAGACAAGAAGTAAGAAAATGGTTCTTTGAAATGAAGCGTAAAGTTTGGATTCACAGTGATGAAGGAGACGATGATGAGGAGATTTAGAGTTACTGGTTTGGACCTGACCTGCAAATGTTAGGAGGAAATCAGACACTGGTAGCAGGAATTACTGTCTTATGGACAAAAATATGTCTTTGATAATTAAATCATTATTTCCACAATGAAAAATTATTAACAGTAAATTTGGTCATTTTTTTAAAGGTATTGCTGATGTCTTAGATTCCTATTTTTGTTATTTATAGTAGCTACTGGAAAAAAAAACCTAAATGTAGTGATAGATGAAAGAAAGTGACTATGAAAAAATAAACTTGAAACAAAACAGACCTAATTAGAGAAAAATGATCCAACCCTGCAGATTATTGCTTTATATATATTCTTAATAACAGATTCTTATTTAATACTTATTTCATCCTCATCCATGTCAACCTGTGGACCCTGCTGTTTTGAATCTGACCCCCCAGATATGAAGACAAAATGACGTCAGAATGAAGATTTTCTACGGTTAACATGACGCCCAGAGTCAAATAGTAGAAATACTTCACTTTAAATTTCTCATGGAAATAAAACAATGAAAGAAAATATCACTGATGCAGAATATCTACTGACTTTTGCTCTTTATTTGGTAGCTAGCATTCAAACTTTTAGTTCAGAGTTTTATAAAATTGTGTAGATTTCTTACATGACGGCAGAGAAGAAGTTATTTCCACATCAGCAATGCTGAATGTTTCATTTCTATATGCGGTGGCCTCTGTAACGACCGTCACTCTTGGCCTCTGTAACGACCGTCACTCTGCAGCTCAGTAAAATCAATCCGTTTTCTCTTTATTCAGATTTTAGCTGTAATAATGTATATATTTCTGTTTTTCTGTCATATATAAGCTTATTTATCAATATCACTGCAGGCATGTTTAAACATGCATGTGTGTTTGTTCCATATCGTGTTTCTCCTTTCCGTATTTCATCAACTACAGTACCTTCCTAGTCTTCTCATATTTTCTTTCTTGTCGCAAACTATACCGGCATTGATTTCATATTATTTTATTTATTTGCACAATGGTCTAGAGTTTTTTTCTTTTTTTATTTCATTTATAATCTTCTTCTCTCCGGCGGATCCTGTTACTATTTGCTGCGGAAAGCTCAATTTCCCGACAGAGATCATCTCATCTCTCCGTAAGTCGCGGCTCTCGGGCTTCAGCTCGCCGTGTCTCTTTATGAGAGTTTACTGTAGCCTGGCTCGATGGTTTTGATTTTCTGCCACCAAAATAATGCAGTGTCAGGTTCTGAGCCTCGTTAGGGGCATGAATGGACAGCCAAATGAACTTTGACACCGATCCATACGTATTGTTTTCCTCTCTCGTGCTCAATCACTTGATTCATTATTTTAGGAGTCATTAGCCGACTAAATGCTTCTATTGTGAGGCCATCTGTTGGGGCTTTATTTGTTTTTATTGTTGGGAAAGGGAAGGGAGAGGTTCCCTGTTTTACCTCCGAGTGTCTGACTCAAAGGGCTCTGGTCTATTCTAGACTATACAACAGCAAACGTGTCAACAAATGTTTGACAACTGTGAAATAAAATCTGTGTTTAGCTGTCAAGCACTGTCAGTCAGTGTGAAGAGGACTCCGTGGAAATAAAGATGAAACATGTCTGCAGTTTGGCTTCATGGAGCTGCTTACTGAAGGGCTTTTAACCTGGAATTTCCAGCTTGTTGATACACAACTTTACACAAGAGCATTGATGAAATAACCCTTGATCATTGTCTGTAACCCGAAATAAAATAGTGAAGCATGAAATTGGAAATTTTTTGAACATTTTGGGGGTTTTGTTCTTGTAAGATAATTTTCTTTTAAGGTTTTCTGGACAAGCAGGTGAAGAAGCAATTGCCCTGGTAATTATCCACTTGTCTATATTCAGCTGCATACTCTTGCATTATTCACATCCTTCAATTTACACCGCCGGCCGTGTGTGTCATCGCAATGAGCCGCAGTTAGCAAGCCCCGTTATTATTACAGGAGCTGTCCTCCCATTTCTATCGGCTGTCTCTCTCGCCACGCCAAACTAACTCGCATAATAGGAAAAGTTTCCCTCCCAAATGTTAATGACTTTCAAAGCACTCTCAGCCCCCTTCTTATTTTATTTTTTTATTATTTTGGCAGATGAACAGAGAGCAGAGCAGACATTAAAACCATCTTTGCACTCACCTATAGGGGTGCTGTGGAGTAACACCGTCTCCAGGTTGCGTCCATCGTTGTAGAGGGCGAGATGCCACGTGCCGGGGTCCATGTACTCAATGAAGCCGGTTTCCTGCAGGCCGCTCAGCAGCAGGCCCTTCGGAGTTTTGGCAGTTGAGATGGGATCAGTCAGGGACCTGGGGAGAGCCTTCCCGTCCAGCAGTTTCACAAAGTCAAACTGGAGAAAAGAAAGCAGCCGAATCAGAACTCTTCTCTAAACTGGCATCAGGTAATTAAGCTAGACTGCAAACAGGGCCGTGCCGATAGAACCAGATCAACAGAAAGAGATCTAAACAAAGGAGGATATTCACATTGGAGCAGGCATCCCCAAAGAGGGCCGCTGTCCTGCAGGATTTAGACGTTTCTCTGCTTTAGCACAGCTGATTATGATGATTGCAGTTCTCAGCTTTCAGCTTTCAATTCAAATCAGCTGTGCTGAAGCAGAGAAACCTCTAAAACCTGCAGGACTGCGGCCCTCAGGGACCCGCTTTGGGGATGTCAGGTTTACCGAGAGTTTATGATTGCATCATCATGTAGAACACAGACATCAGCCAATGAAGATTTAGATTAGTTACCTTTTTTAAACAATGTTTATGTCAAGAATGATGCCTTTACTGCCATTAAAAGCTATGCTGCGCTAATTCATTAATCCAACCGTACTATTGGACCGGTATGGCTATACGCCAATATGCTAAACATACGCATCAGATTGGATCAGAAAAAAACGGATCTATGCATCTCTACCTCTATTTCCAGCAACTTCTCCTTCAGGTTTTCTACAGAATAATTCAGACCATGATCCATGAAAAAGGAGAGACGGATTTAATCAGAACCCCAGAGGAAAACATTCATGAACTAAAACACAAACTGCACCTAATCTCTAACCCACTCATTGATAAACAACCTGTGATGGATGTTTATTGGAATAAAACTTGTTAAATATGTTTTTGTTTTTTAAATAGAACTTTTTCTAATGTATTTACTGCCTAAAATAATAAAGATTATAAAATAAAACGGTGATTTTTACAGTTGCATTTTAATATTTGCTAATTTGATGCCTGATGCCAAAATAATTCAAAGCTTTGATGAAAATCTGTTTTTGATTAAAGTTTAATCTGATGTCTTTCCTCTGATTTCCTGTAATACTCCTGCAATACAAATGAACCTAACTTTATGATTCTGTGTTGGTTACATAAAATGCACAAAATCTGATGTTTCTTTTAGTTGTAATATTAAAAATAGGAAAAAAGTTGAAAGGTTCCAATATTTAGCAGGTTCCTGCAGCATAACTGTAAATGTGGTTTTATTAGTGATGGAGGCTAATTAACAAAGGTACGACCATTTATGTCTGTTTATAAATCATTATCATTTCCTGAGAACCTGTGAGGAGCAAAGACTCAAAACATCCGGTGCAAAAAGCAACCAATGGATGTTTAAAAACTTCTTCTGTTTAGAGTTTGGTCACACGTAACGTCTCATTAGAAAATTACATTAAGTCTCTTCTTGGTTGCTTGGAAACATGCCGCTGTAGATGGAGTTTGGCCTATTTTCCCCCTAAGGTGCTTCAGTAAAGACTGAATGAAGCATAAACTGGTAAAACTGAGACACTTTTCTATGATTCATTTTATTGCACTGTTTACAGGATGCAGAATGAAACTGAGCCGAGTCCAAAGATCAGCAGCATAACTCAAGTTTAGCTCAGTTACCCTGGACTTCACACATACACTACATTATATATATATATATATACAGTATATAGCGTAAAGGAAAAGGGATCCAAAAGGATGACTAGAGAATGTAAGAGGTCGGCAGCAACAATAAACTCCAGAAGTTGACATACTTCTCAAGTTTTCTTTCAAGAAAAAGCCCATTTGATCCGTCTATACTGCTCTTTTTTCTGACTCCTTCATTCCGTCCTCCCTGGAGCAGCAAAGTCCTCGCTGAGTTTATTCCCCTGGAGGGCTCCGTGTCACACGAATGTCAAAATCAGCTAATTAGACCTCTTCATGCAGACAAGAGCAGAAAAGCACTGCTGTTAAAAATCAGATGAGTCAGACTGAGACGTATCTTTGGTCTGTCCATGTCTGTGTTGCTCAGTACAACGCTGCGCTCAGTGTGAACATGTGTGCATTTAGAGACACACAAACAAGCCTTCTTTTGTTGGGGGGGGCAACATCCACACTTCTTAAGACAGCTTGGATTTCTTTCAATGGGCAAAATATTCAGTTTTTCAGTAGAAAACAGCAATATGTAAGATTAGAGGCTGCATCTGATGAGATTAGGAGCCGCTGCCTGATTACTCCACAGAGAAGACAATAAAAACGGTTTTCCATCATCTATTACGCCGCGCTGTAACACAACTGAAGTCACAATTTAATTGCTCTCATTTGCATATTCGCCGTTTCTCTTGTCAAAACAAGTTGGAAAAGGTGATTTGTTCGCGGCTCATAACTGTTACCTGTTAAACAGCCAGGTAAGAATTCACGCTCTGCTGGATTGCCAAATCAATCAACCTGTTATTGTGTTTTCAGAATTCAGCCGACAGACAGGCATAAATAGTGTTTATGGACACCTGTCTGACTGTAAATCAATACTTTAGGGCTGAACAGAACGGATTTAAATCCACAATGGGAAAGAGGATTCCAGGAATGATAATAGAGCAAAGAGAAAAGCAATTAGACCGAGGGAACAACGATAAAAGGAAACATTTTTAATTTCAGAACCAAATATTCCTGCAAAAAAGAAAGGAAAGGAAAACCGTTCTGTCTGCGTGAAATATTTATCAGTGAGAACAAGAATGAACCAAAGTTCAGTTAATAAGCAGGGAACCCGAGGCTGGATGAAAGGACCCAACGTGAGAGGAAAACCTGGAAGCAGTGGCAGGTGGAGCGCTGCGGCCCATCTGGATGAACAGCATGCCGCCACAGGAGCAATCTCTACCTGAGTGTGCGTGGGCGGGATGTTTCTCCGACCATAGACCCCCAGCAGCGCGTTGTGTGAGAGGGACAGATTGAACTTGACGTAGGTTGGATGGTGAACGGTCATATGAAACCTCCAGAAGAGGCCCGGCGGGATCGCCTGGCTCTGCTGGCTTCCGATGTCCATCTCACCGCGGTCGATGGCGCGGCCCCTCACCCATTTTTCTGCAGGTGAAAGAAAGAGAAAAAAGGCGATACAACTTAGTCACATTGCTGCAAATGTATCAAGGTGTACAAGGAGCCCCATTCAGGCAGCGATTGTTAACCAACCTAATGTCCTATAACAGCAGTGAGATCAGCAGCACAGCTAATTAAGTGAGACTGAATAGATCTGCAAATGACTGAGTGAGGCTTTAAAAAAGCACCTTTTCAAGGAAGAAGGCTTTGGCCGTCCTTTGGATACACTGTGCATAAAGAGGAGCAGCTTTAGAAAGGCAAGGCTGGGCATGAAAGCTCTCTACAGGGGCTTTGTCATATGCTATATTAGCATCTGCTAACAAGAAAGGAGGATGTGTGCGTCAGGATGTGTGTCAAAGAAAAGAGAAAAAGTGAGGAGGACACCCCCCCCACACACACATGACCACATGCATTCACAAACAGAGCTCAGCTCATAGATAGTGTCTTGAGTGAGAGCTGGCCTTTGTGTTGGAAGAGAATAGGTTTTTCCAGCAGTCCCTCGGCCACCAGCCTCTCTCCGCTCTCAGGAAGCCTTTATCAAGCCTGACTCCTTTGTGTAGGGATCTCTCCAGCCGTCTTTGTGCCGGCCGTTATAGAGAGATATATCTCTGCTTCTAAACTAAGATGGAGGAAATATGTTGACAGAAGGGAGCCAGCCAATCGTTACCAGCACAAAGGCAGAAGAACAGTTAGGGGCAGATTCATGGACAACTCTGCCCGCTCTCAATCCATAACGCCCGCAGCTCCACCACTCCATTATGGCGACACCGTGCACCCCCACAGGCCGGCCGCCATATATCACCTGCGCTGTCACAGCCAGCTCAGAGTGCAGGTCTGGGAGGTACTGTTAGCTGGACTGGAGGTGGTTTAAGGAAAGGCAGCATGTGTTTGACTTCTGCAGGTCGGTCCTGAACTCCACTCGCTTACAGATGTTAGAGGGTTCCAGCGTGTTTAACCCAGGAATTCAATCAAATCAAACATTTGTTTCCAGCAGGGACTTTTTCAGCGGCTAAAGTGGAAGAAGGTCCGTTATATTACAGCAGAACCAAACAAGCAAGGAACAGCAATGACCCAAACACCCAGCAGATTAATCAGTAAACGGTTTAGTTCTAGCAGATTATAAAAACAAAGCATCAGCAGAGCCGTGGTTAACAGACCAGAGAGAGAAGAACTTAACTAACCCGGCAAATTCTCTCAATGACTGTAAATAAAGTAGTATTATCAATGCGCATGTTGACAGAGTTTTATATAACATTACTGGTCTAATGAAATGTTGAAACATTCACTGTTAATTTTGTATTGAGAATCATCAGTAACCTTCTTATTATTTCAGTCGTTTCTGGTTTCTGGTTGTGATGAACGTTCCTCCACCTTCACGCTGTGGATGTTTATCTTTTTAACTACTTCACAATAAATGATCGACTTATTCTACGACTGATATATAATCATTACCTATCGGTGATGAAGAGTTGGTCGTTTGACGTGAATTTGACTCTACTGAGATCAACCAATGATGATGGGATCTGATGTCAAACAGGAAATGAACATATTTATCTTGACTAGTGTTGCGCTGATGCCATTTTTTGGCCCCGATACCGATACCCGATACCTGGCTGTGCAGTATCGCCCGATACCGATACCATAATAATGTAAAATAATTGCCATCATGGCTTTGTTGAGCTGCTGCCTACCTTTGTGAAGCAGAAAAAATCTAATACAAAGTGAATCCAGTAAAACTTTTTAATAAAATGTTCTACTGGATAATAAAAATAAAAAGTTTTTATTGCCTACCAGGAGTGGGTGACAATAGTTGAATAAACTTACGGCTCTCAAAATGGTATCGGTGCCCTATTTGTTGGTACTCGCCGATACCGATACCACCATTTTAGGGCAGTATTGGGGCCCCGACCGATACTGGTATCGGTATCAGTGCAACACTAACCTGTGTCTGTGTTTCCTCCTTATAGATCTGCACTGGTTGGACGTCTGGGGTCGGTTTTAGAAGCTTTTCTATAGTCCTGTCTATTCAGGCGTATCTAGGACTGACCTCAGCTCAGCGGGAAGATTCGTTTGTTTTGACGTCTGAAAGTTGTGAGTTAAACTGCAGCTCCTCCTGTAACCTGCTGATGTTCCCACGGGCAAGGCACTTTCTCCTATCTGGATATCAGAGCGATGCAGAGTGTTACTGTGATGATAAAGGGCTCTGAGTGACAGGCATGAATGGAAAAGGGATTTAAAAAGAGAGAGACCTACAGTTTGCAATCTTCTGGGGTTAATTTAAAGAAATAAACGTTTCTTTTTAACTCTGCATGTGATGATTTCATGATAGATTGAGGCGTCCTACTGGTTAGTATCTCATGTGTTTGTCTTTTAAGCTTGTCTTTGCTTAGTTGTTAGTAATTATAGCCTTCCTGTCTATCTCTATCATAATGACACCATGTGACATATATTAGTTATCAAACTCTAGCTTTCTCTGTATCACCTAGATTATTCTGATCCTTACTTATATCTAGTTTACCTAAATCTGAGATAAATACTCCAGAAAGGAACCGTTGTTTGAGTTTGCGTCTGTCTGGTCACCATTTAGCACCTGTACAGGTAAAAATACGCCAATGTCAGTCAGAAGGTGATTTGTGGGAATGTTTTGTCCTCTTCCAGCCTAGCATAGCATTAGCTGTAGGAAGACCTTTCAGATGCACACTTCATGTAAATAGCTTGGGAGGCCTTGGTGGAATTGCACTTCTGCTCGCATCAATATTTGCCATCCACCCAGCAGAAAATGACTTTGCCCGTCTCTTTTTGAACATCCTGTTATAATATTGAGCCCTAACCTTTCAAAATGTCAAACAGCATATTAATAAACACAAAACCACTGCATTTATCTTTTTAATGTAGCTCTTACTGGACTGAAATAAAGTTTGTCAGTAAGAGGCAATATAATGGGAATTAAAGAAGCAGCTAAAATAAATAGTTATTTAAAATGTTATATCTTATAAGATATAAGCTTCGATATTCGTTTCTTACATTTGACTCGCCTCCAAACGCAGTAATGTTTGCATTCAGAGTCCCAGCAAGTTTACCTCTGCAAGCTATTGCTTTAAATGATAAAACAAGTATAGAAGGTGTTGGATCTGCTGAGCGAAGAGCTTTTTTATTTAGCTGTAGATGAATGGAACGTGAATAGAGCAGGGCATCTGATGAGCCCTCAGACATGTGGGCAGATGAGCAAGCATGTTCCTCTGATGATAATTACTCCACAGCGCCTCTCTGAGCCTGATGCAACAAAGGGACAGAAAAGCTGCATGCAGGTCAGCTGCAGGGAGGAGAGGCAGGCTGTTTGGAGCAGAAAGCCTGAAACAGGAGCAGCACGCCTTTACAGTAAAAGTTGGTGGCACCGTCATTTTACACTGGCTGATGCAAGACAGAAGAAAAGCTCTCTTCGTTTTATTACTTTTCTCCCCCTCAGTGGAGGGCAATCCTGCCGCGCCTGAAGCGTGAAGGTCTAAGGAATTTTTGGGAAGAAACATTAAACAAAAAAAATTCATTTTTCCAGCCAGTCCCTCCCAGCTCCTCAGATGACTGCTGTCAATCATTCTGCTCTCAACACAAAACCTCAAACCATCTTTGAAACTATGAATCTTTGCTTGGTTCACCTTGGCAGGCTTAAATGAGGGAGGCAGTATGCAAACAGGGAGAGACGATTTCTTCACGCCTTCCCGTTTCCTGGCTTTATTGAAGGAAAAAAAAAAACAGCTAGAAATTCACACTTACTGTTGATTATTAGCAAAAAAAGATAAAAATAAATGGTACTGCATGAATCTCTTCTCTTCATCATTATCCAGCAAGCAAAGCAGCTTCTGAGCAGAGCATGTGTGAAGTTGAAGAAAAGTGAGGCTTCTTTTTATTATTAGAAATAAACAATTAAAGGGTTTCTTCTTCATGTTTACCATCAAACCACAGAGCGGCCTTGACAGAAATAATTAATCATTAGTGAGCTTCTATAAACTAAATAGTCTGCATTAAATAAATGATCCTGTTCTCGCCAATTATGCAGGAAATGCTGCATGATGCACTCAGAAATGCTTCTGCTTACACTTGACTCCTGTCAGAATCATTTCAAAAAACAAAAAAAATCAGATTTCTGTAATAAAATGTAAAATCTGCTAACATCTATTGAACACAGTATAAGCCACCATCCTCCATGCAGCTGCCCCCATTCAATACCAGACTGGGGGGGATTCCTAAAGAACGCCTTTCTTCCTATAAACTACTCATCAATAAAAGCCGCCGGTGCCACAAAATATATAGAAGAAAGTGACACCTGTTAGCGTGTGACTCCTGGTGAAGTTAGTGAGCTATTATTAGGAGCAGGTGGGATCTGTAACTCTGACCATCTGCTGCATCTGTGTTTTAATATGAACACAGGGAAACAGCAGAGGTTTAGCTTTGGCTCTAATGTGTGAAGGTGGCCACCATGCTAAAGCCATCCTCCGCTTCAAAGCTTCCTATTGCTGCTAAGCTAAAGGAGTCTGGACCGAACTTTATCCCGACAGCTGCTGCTTCCTTTCTGCTATGCTAGTTTTGCATCGTTGCAGGTTTGGTGATGTAAGTCAGACGGTTCTAGGATGCCAACCAGTTTGATAAATGAATATATATATAATATATATTCTACTTCTGTGCCAGTCAGGGTAATGCCTTTTTATGACTCAAAAAAAAAACTTGAACAGGAAATGATTTAGACATCTTTTACCTTTAAGTGCAGCAGAAAGGTTGGGATTCGCTGGCCTGCAGAGCTGGATTCACAATCTATCAACATTCAAAAGAGTCAACTGACCTAAATCAAGATACAAGCAGGAAGCAACTGAAACTTTTGAGAAAAAAATTTATAATTACATTCTATTAAAGACTTTCCTCAAATGTGTAGAAGAAACCAACACGCCACTGGTTTGTTCTTTGAAACTCAACTCTTCATTTCTTCATTATCCGCC